ATAATAACCATCCACTGTATGAAGTACGAAAATGGTAGCTTACAGTTAAGGTAAGTAATTCAGGTAATTAATTAGGGTAATTAAAACATTAATTATCTGGACTTTTTGGACACGCAAATAAACACATAAAGACACACTTTTGGCCAGTTTTATTGATGTAACATCGAACATGGATAACTACTAAATGTATTTATGACCCAAAAAAAAAATCGGCTTTTTACTACTTTTAGGTCAAAAATCACCTATAACTCAGAATGAACATTGAAGTCCTACGGCATGTTTTGATCTGACAGGCTACATATGATTACATCCTGATTACATATATAAATTATACCAGGAGTTACTGAGACTAATTTGTCTTTATTAACTCCTGATTATACCTGCATGTTTATAAATTATATTATCAGGAGTAAATAATAACAAAACTTTGTGATTATCTACTCCTGATATTATATAGATTGTCTATGCATTTATGGGATATCTATGATTGCATATATAGCCTATATTTGCAATGTAGTTATATTTCCATCTGATTACACTCTTCATTGACCATTTGATTGACTACATTCACAATAAAAGCGCAATTATTTAGTTCTAGTACAAGTACATGTCATGAAGTTTTTCATAAAATAAAATCTGATAGCTATATTCGAACTGTGTGTCATCCATAATGCGCAGTTATTGCTACAATGTCAAAGAAAATTACCCATGGCCACTTGACCAAAACCCCCCAAAACACAACCCACACGTGGCTTTAAAAAATTCCCGTGTGTGCGCGTGCGTGCGTAAGCACCCGTGTACATATATCATAGTATTAATTGGTATTATAGCATTATTGTATTTATTTGTATTATGTTCGTGCGTGCATACGCTGTCGACAAGTCATGGTAAGAATAACAGTTAAACGGGTTCATATATGGCACAAATTTATCACAATAATCAACAAAATCTCTTCATTACAAAACAATGCATGAACCAAGCAAGGTACAGGTACTGATGATATTATCTGAACTACATTTTAACATCTGCTAGGTGACAAATAAGACTACATACAGACAAACCATCAATGACAATGCTATTATATCCACTTAATTTACATATAAGATCATTAACCTCACTCTAATATATCTGACGTTGCTATCTCATAAATAATTCTGCGAAAATAATTAATGATAAAGACGTGAACAATGACAACACAGGAATGGTGTAAAGTCACTACTACCTAAACGCACAACCGAAATTCGATTTCAATTTAAATATGTAAGACTCATGATTTTAATTCTTAAACAACATTTTGATTTTCACATTCAGACCCATGGTGGTGGTACTGACTGCAGCTTCTATCCTGATTCTAAAATATTCCTCACTTCCTACATAATATTACAATCCATCTTACTGCATACATATATATATCTCAAACCGTTTATACATATAATCAAGAGCAGATAATAACACATTATTATCTACTCTTGATATAATTAAATAAACAATAAAACTTCAATGGAATTAAATTCTGTTGACTGATAACTATGTAATCTTATTTAGTCGTTATCAACTGATCATACTGAAAGCATGCTGGTATAATAATTTTTACCATTCAAGTATTATTCTGAGCACACATATTCGTTGTTTTCAGCAAATCCCTTCTTAATAAGAACTGCTTTAACAACATCAAAGCATCACCGTTATGCAACTTGAACGTATACATACTATCTCATATTATAATAATGCGAATAATGTATAGCATTATCATGAACCCAGCTATACCTGTATAGGTGGGTTTATGATAACACACATAAGTTCATGGCAACTATAGATTATATCACGTTAGCACTACGTATCGCTTAAGTAGATCATCACAGAGAGGCAAAATACTTGCAGCCCATTATACAAGCGTTTTACCACATTGCTTATACGCACTGGTACATACACCTCCACAAACGTGCCTTCTCCTATAGATTTTCATTAACCAAAAGAAAGCCTATACTCGTTAGCGTTGTCGTAAATTAAGTACGAAAAAAACATTGCCTTTTTTGCTGCGTTTTATCCGCTTGTCCTTACAAATAAATGGCATTGCTTACACGAACCGATCCAACTATAAACCGCCTTATTGCAACTCGTAAATACCACTAGCGTCCTCACTCAGTGTAACCTCTAAACACCATGTAATCTCCCAACAGTAATCTCTAAATGACACGTTACCTATAGCAGTGTAATTTTCTGTGCCAGAGTATTTCGTGACTAGTTGACTCGAAATCCACGTATAATAACTCTCCATTGTAAACTACCATAACTAATGAATTTGACTAGTGTGCTTCTGTGTCAGTGTAGCTTCTGACTGTAACTTATACGTTAGCTGCAATTACCAGACGTGTCAATTTCGGACTCAACGCATCTTCTAAATTGTCCATAATCCCCATACAAGTGTAACTTCTGATTCAATGTAACCTTGAAGTTTGCTGTAACATGCTGTCTAGTCTATCAGTCTCTATCAACTTACTCTTGAAACAACCTTCAATCTTGTACTTGATTTCACATCAGAACAGCTCGCAGCATGCAAACTTTCCACATAAATACCGCCGACTTCCAACGCCTTCCACTTATTCTCCATCATTGCTCCTCACTACTCAACTTTCCTAGCTGAAACTAGGCGAAAAGGCATATCTCTGGTACCTATATCATTGACAGCATGCATTACCAACTTATTATTAATATAATAATGGATGCACTGCTTACATTGACAAAACTCTTGCTCCTAATGGCAACCGAAACGTACATTGTTATTAATGACAGGTTGAGTTCACCATTCATGATAGGCAGGTACTTCTAGATAGATAGCCAACTCTAATGACATGTAGGTCACTAACTGTGAAACAGGTTGATACCTTATTTTTAACGACAGGTATTTTCATTAACGACAGGTTTTTCGGGTGTTAGGTGTATTACCCACTACTGATGCCACCCAGGTATCTTTCCATTAATGGCAGGTACCTTGGGCAATAGGTGTATAACCCATTACTAATAACAGGTGGGTCACTCATCACTAACGACAAACAGCTCAAGTGTCATGAATAATACTCATTACTAATAGCAGGTGAATCAGGTGGGAAGGTAGATTAGTTGTGTTAGACGGTGGGTGGGTCCGGCGGTGGCAGTTCGACATCCAATATTGGTGGTCGCCAGAAGGTGAACAAGCTGAACTGGTCAGAAGCTGGGAATGTTCCTGTCTTTGTTCCCTCTACTACGTCCTTTTCGTGTAGATGTGGAAAAAGATGGTCGACCAAGTCGGACTGTCCCGAGTATCTGTAAAACAATCGATTCCCTTCGTCAGAGCTAATTGCAAGGTTATGACAGTATCTATGTAGATTTCAATAAAGGTCAGCACATGATAATTATGTTGTGTTGTTCACTTTTCCGGCACTAGACTTACTTGTTTCAGAAATATGGAAAAGCAATAATTTCGACCTGTGGTATCTAGTATGATAATAATTATTGCCCTACATTACTATCGATAGCTGGCTTCGAATTCGCCCCGCAAGGCTACTCGTTTTATACACGAGGTTGTAAGCCATATATCTACACTCTAAATCTAACTAACACTAAACTAAAGTAGACTAAACTACTAAACTACACAAAACTAACACTAAACTATGAATCTGTTCCTGCAGCTGGTATCAACTGGAGTAAATCTGGACAAAATGCCTCGTCAAGGAAATGACAGCAGTGGCCAAGGTCGGACTCGAAACTACCACACTTCAAATCCAAGTTTGGAATGCTAACTATTAGGCCACTGTTCTTTGCCATCAGTCTTAAGCTGGGTTTAGACTACCGACTTTTTGTTGTCAAATTGGCAAGTTGGACCAATTTCACAATTCGGCAACACCGAGTTGGCGAAAATAGAACATGTTCTATTCTCCAAACTAGTTACTATTAACCAGTTGCTCTCGCGACTTTCACGTTTACGCTGCCGATTGTCGGTTGTATAATTGCGAAGTTGGCCCAATTCGCTAATTTGTCTGCATAAAGTCGGTAGTGTAAACCCAGCTTTACACGCAGATGATTAACGTGCGAAGTACAATTTACCAGGAGTAGATAATAGGGAAGGAGTGTGACATCAATAAACAAGGGAAATTCGTCATTTACTAGCCTTATAATACCTACGATTTACTACGCGTAACTCATCCCACTTGAGCTCAAATCGTACACAGTACATTCGCCTAGCATCGTGCGAAATCGTTTTCTCGTATACACAAGCAATCCGGAGATACAGACTAAAATGTACGACACGATTATTCATTCTTTGGCCATCAATCCAAAAGTATTCCCCGCCGAACTTGCAAACAAAAGGCAGCTACTAACGCACTGTCGCTCACTCGCCGAGGCGGTGTGGCTCGCAGGGAGATTGCGGTGGGCGTGCGTGCGTGGGGGGCATACCAACTGTATGCCGGTGTGTGCCGGGTCAAAGGTTATCTCGCCGAGTGTTGCGTCGATGTCCAATCTCCCAGCGAGCCACACCGCCTCGCCGAGTGAGCGACAGTGCGTTAGTAGCTGCCTTTTGTTTGCAAATTCGGCGGGGAATACTTTTGGATTGATGGCCAAATAATGGATAATTGGGTCGTACGTTTTAGTCTGTATCTCCGGATTGCTGGTGTATACGAGGAAACGATTTCGCACGATGCTAGGCGAATGTACTGTGTACGATTTGAGCTTAAGTTGGATGAGTTACGCGTAGTAAATCGTAGGTATTATAAGGCTAGTAAATGACGAATTTCCCTTGTTTATTGATGTCACACTCCTTCCCTATTATCTACTCCTGAATTTACGTACGTCGACTGGAATGTGTTTGTGACCTCATACTTCAGTTCTCCCTTTGGGTTGATCGTGAAGATGCGCGGTGTAGGCACACCCACAGTTCGATATGCCCATGTGTCCTACGTGGCAAACACACTACGCATTAGTAACTGTGGATATATTATCGAAAAGATGATCCGTATCAATATTAACGTTTTATACATTATATTAAGCTAAAATATTTAATAATTAATTATAAACTCTAACATATAATATTTCTTCATTTGCTGTTCATTTTAAACTAAACAGACATTTTACATGTTTCAACATGCCCTTTTTAATTGGCACATTTAAATCGATGTATAATATTTCATCATTTCCAGTTCATATAAATTAAACTAAACAGACATTTTACGTGTTTCAACATGCCCTTTTTTAATTCGCACATTTAAATCGGTGCGTTCACATGCTTTGATTCCCGACAACATGGACAACCTACATTGATCCTGTTTCCGTAACCAGCATAGAATGGATTTGTTGGAAAAAGGGCTTTGATGTCACGCAGACACTGGATCTTGAATTTCTCTGGGTTACGCTCAATCACCTCTCTGCATAAAACAAAAAGCTTTCAGTAATTACACAGAAGTGAAGTAGCATGGCCGGGATACACCACATGTGACGGTGTTTTGCCTGTCTTAGTTTGTGCACAGATGGGGGCAGACTATCATGAGTGCCTAGGTGAAGAGATAAGTTCCTTGGGCTTTCCAAGTGATATTGCGTTGCCTGTCTCAGTTTGCGCAAGGAGGTGAATGACTGTCACGAGTGCCTAGTTGAGGGGGAAAGGCTCTTAGAATTAACCATGTGACATTGTGATGTCTGCCTTAGTTTGCAGAGAGGGCAGAGACTGTCATTAGTGCCTCGTTGAGGTGATAAAGGTTCTTTGAATTTCCCATGTGATATTGCGTTTCCTTTCTCAGTTTGCACAGAGAGGAGACTGTGCCTAGGTGAGGAGGTAAGGTTCTTTGTATTTCCCATGTGACATTGTGGTGTCTGCCTTAGTTTGTAAAGAGGGCAGAGACTGTCATGAGTGCCTAGGTCAGGAGATAAGCATCCTCTGCTATTCCAGCTAGTATGCATTTTTGTCAAGGAACTCTACGTAAGAGGCGTGGCACATGGGCTGTGTGCACACAGCAGAGAGCTTGGGTAAAGCAGTAGTTATGGACCGTGTAGTCATACGCACGCACACACGCACAAACGCACATACCTGTGCAGTGCAGACAGCAGGGAGCTTGGGTTCAGTAACAGCGGACCATCAGGCAATGATACGTCTCCCTGTTTGATGCTTTTCAGGTAGTCTTTGGTGCCCTTGAATTGACCTATCGCGCGTGCGGATAGGTAGACAAACTTGTAACCGTTTTCAGTGATGGCGTTGAAGAGCTGAGTCACACCAGACTGCGCCCAGTCCTTGCCGATGTATGGAAGCACATGTCCCAAGACATCAGACCTGAAACAGATGCAGCAATGCAACATCAATTGTGAGTACCCGATTCATTCTTACGTCTTATCCTTCCTTCTTGTTCTTGTTCTTCTTGTTCTTGAGTAACCTTCTGATTCCTTCTTGTATGGGATTTTCCCTTTCCACTTATTACATATGTATAGCACTATTATTCAAAGCAAGATAGATCGAGTACAAACATGCATGCACGCACACGTGCACGCATGCACACGTTCTAGGTAAATAGATGCAATTTTAATCAAATCGACACTGCAATGCCATCTACTGCAAAAAATAACTTATAAGCATGCATATGTGAAATTTTCACTGCACCATTTGCATTGTGCATGCGTGTGCGCGCGTGTGACAGTGAGTGATACCAATAAATGCGCTTGACAAGACTAGGCCGCATACATTACATAGGGCTATAGCTAGTAAAACTTACTTTGTGATGGTTCCATCTACATCAGAAATAACTAGTTTGTCGTCGTAGTTCCACAGGTATATAGTGGAGTAACACCGCGTTGTCCCTTGCATCTTGGTTGTCACAGAGAACGTGATCTCGTTAGGTCCCGGCTGTAGATTTAGTTTCGCCTGGAATCAAATGATGTAACTAATTACTGAGTATCTAACGAGAGGTTGTAGAAAATAGCAACCGTGATTTTAGTAACAATAAATTGTTACTAGTAACAATATACACACGTGCTCCAAGAGATGCACGAGTGTTAAAATGAAAGAGAGTGTCATGGCGCAGCACAAACTACGGTATTACTGTCTGCAATACGAATGATTTAATACTAGGCAGCACTTTGCTCCTGTGACATAAATCTCAAGTTTTGAGCCAACAATCGTGTTCTCCACAATACTTGCAGGATATTATATATATATATATAATTTATTTGTGCAGCTTTTGTGACTGAAACAATTCTATAACTCATACTTCAGGGGCGCTACTACATGCAACACATGAATTTAAGCATGCGGGGGACAGCACAAAAATGCACACCATGCCACGATTACACACCTCAATGGAAGACACGAATCAAGACCGGGGAAGGTGGAAATCAGTGAACATGGACGTGACATGAGGCTATCATATATATATGTATATATGTCTGTGTGTGTGTGTGTGTGTGTGTGTGTGTGTGTGTGTGTGTGTGTCTCTGTGTGTGTGTGTGTGTGTGTGTGTGTGTGTGTGTGTGTGTGTGTATGTGG